ATGTTGACCAGGATGGTCTCGATCTCTTGACCTCGTGATCCACCCGCCTCGGCCTCCCAAAGTGCTGGGATTACAGGTGTGAGCCACCGCGCCTGGCCGAGAATAATATTCTTATGTGCAGTTTACAGCCACTGGCAATAGAGATGTTAGTTCATAATGTTACCAAATGGCACACTGCTACCCACTTTATCACTACATTTTTTTTTTTTTGATGGAATCTTGCTCTTTTTGCTGAGGCTGGAGTGCAATGGTGCGATCTTGGCTTACTGCAATCTCCACCTCTCAGCTTCAAGCACTTCTCTTGCCTCAGCCTGTGGAGTAACTGGGATTACAGGCCTGCACCACCACTCCCGGCCAATTTTTGTATTTTTCATAGAAATGGGGTTTCTTTCTCCATGCTAGTCAGGTTGGTCTTGAACTCTTGACCTCAGGTGATCTGCCAGTCTCAGCCTCCCAAAATGCTGGGATTACAGGTTTGAGCCAACGCCCAGCCAACTATATTGTTGAGTTAGGTAGATAGGTGAAAGTTAGTGGCATGATAAACACTTCATTCAATGTATTATGACCATAACATGTTTTAAAAAGTTTAATTAAAAAACTAAGTTTACAAGTAATCTGAAAATTTTAAAATGTACTGCATTTTATTACATAGAAATATTCTTAGTATAATTTTATATATATATATGTATATATATATATATATATTTCTTTTTTTTAGACAGTCTCGCTCTTGTATCCCAGGCTGGAGTGCAATGGCATGATCTTGGATCACTGCAACCACCACTTCCAGGCTTCAAGCTATTCTCCTGCCTCAGCCTGCAGAGTAGCTTGGATTACAGGCGTGCACCACCATGCCTGGCAAACTTTTGTATTTTTAGTATAGACGGGATTTCTCCATGTTCTTCAGGTTAGTCTTGACTCTTCCCCTCAGGTGATCTGCCTGCCTGGGCCCCTCAAAATGGCTGGGATTACAGACGTGAGTCACTGCGCCCCGCCGTAAAATAATATATTACTAATTCAATCAATTGTAACTGAAATTAAAAGTTTTTCACTATAAGGCAGAGTATTACTCTGAACAACTACTTGAAACATCACTGAATATTATATGTTAACCATAAAGACACTCACCATTTCTATTTTCATCATACATCTTACATTTTAATGTTCTTATTCTTTTTCTATTTCTTTTCTTTCTATTGAGATGGAATCTTGCCCGTTTGCCCAGGCAGGAGGGTACACAGAAATAGTGTGCTTTTTTTGTTTTGTTTTAAGATGAAGTCTTGCTCTGTAGTTCAGGCTAGAGTAGTGGCATGATCTTAGCTCACTTCAACTTCCACCTTTTGTGTTCAAGTGATTCTCCCACCTCAGCCTCCTGAGCAGCTGGGATTACAGGTGCATGCCACAGCGCCCAGCTTGTTTTTTTTATCTTTAGTATAGACGAGGTTTCACTATTTTGGCCAGGCTGTTCTCAAACTCCTGACCTCATGATCCCCCCACCTCGGCCTCCCAAAGTTTGGGATTACAGGCATGAGATACTGCTCCTATTCTAATGTTCTAATTCTTTAATTGAAAAGGTCATAAGTAATGCCCCCCTAATTAAAAAAAATTCATATCTTTGATGTTGCAACAATTGATCACATGCTTTCACATGTGAATAGAATAGCAATAAAGAAGAAAGAGAATGAAATAATTTGAGAGTTGAATTACATCATTCTTTGGCTTTCAAAAAACAAGTTTTTTTAAAGAAAAAAACTTTGTAATTAAAATTCTGCAAAAAATGTTCTACTTCTTTTAAAGTTATATACAAATAATTATCCACCAAATTTAGTTTGGGATTATATTCTGTACTCAGCACTGTAATTTAGTGTAGTGTCTGATGCGCCACCATTGTAGGTATTTCTACTGTGAATCCTCTGATATTTACATAGACTTAACTTTGGATTAAATATATTTTTATATCTACTGCATCTGCAAAATATATTTGAGTATGAATCCTCTGCTGCTTTGTTAGCTGTAGTTTTTGAAAATGTTTTTCAAAATTTGTTACATGTGCAGGGTTTTACTCATATATAAATCCTCTGATGTTAAAGTTTAAGCAACTGCTTTAGGGTCTTCCTCTAGCACAAAATGTGTACAAGAAGATTTGTGATACAAATAAAAGTACTACAATTTTTTTTTTTTTTTTTTTGGGACGGAGTTTCGCTCTTGTTACAGGCTGGAGTGCAATGGTGCAATCTCGGCTCACCGCAACCTCCGCCTCCTGGGTTCAGGCAATTCTCCTGCCTCAGCCTCCCGAGTAGCTGGGATTACAGGCACGCGCCACCATGCCCAGCTAATGTTTTGTATTTTTAGTAGAGACGGGGTTTCACCATGTTGACCAGGATGGTCTTGATCTCTTGACCTCGTGATCCACCCGCCTCGGCCTCCCACAGTGCTGGGATTACAGGCATGAGCCACCGTGCCCGGCCCCTACAATTTTTACATTTGTAACGTTTTTCTTCAAAATGATTACTCTTTTTCACATTAAAGGCTTATTTTTTCTGAATGCTCTTTTCACAGTAATTGCATTTATCATGCTTTTATTTATTTATTTATTTTATTATTATTTTTTTTTAAGATGGGGCTTCACCATGATGGCCAGGCTGGTCTTGAACTCCTGACCTCAGGTGATCCACCCACCTTGGCCTCCCAAAGTGCTAGGATTACAGGCGTGAGCCACCGTGCCTGGCCCATGCTTTTATTAAGTACTACCTTTCTAATGCTGAGTAAGATGTGAGCAGATATTAATGGCTTTTCCACATTCTTTATATTTGTATATTTCTTTAGTATAAATGCTTTTCTGTGCAGTAAGATGTGAGCATACGTTTCGCCACATTGTTCATACTTGTAGTTTGTTCCAGTATGAATTATCTTACCTACAGTCAAGTGTGACAGCCATTTAAAGACTTTGTCACATTGTTCACCACATTTCCAGGATTTCTGACCAATATGATGACTTTTATGCTTATAAGTATGAGGTGTTGTCAAAATTATTGTTACATCTTTCAGGTTATTAGTTTCTCTCCAGTATAAATTTTCTTTTCCTTTTTTTTTTTTTTTTTGAGACAGAGTATTGCTCATTACCCAGGCTGGAGTGCAATGGCGCGATCTCGGCTCACCGCAACCTCCGCCTCCTGGGTTCAAGCAATTCTCCTGCCTCCGCCTCCCGAGCAACTGGGACTACAGGCGCGCGCCACCATATCCAGCTCATTTTTTTTGTATTTTTGGTAGAGATGGGGTTTCACCATGTTGACCAGGATGGTCTCAATTTCTTGACCTCGTGATCCACCCGCCTCGGCCTCCCAAAGTGCTAGGATTCTAGGCGTGAGCCACCTCGTCTGGCCTAAATCTTCTTATGTTTAGTAACATTTTTGAATTGGTTAAAGGCTTTGCCACATTCTTCGCATTTGTAAGGTTTCTCTTCGTATGCATTTTCTTATGTCTAGAAAGATTTGATGAATGGTAAAGGCTATGTCACATTCTTCACATTCATAGGGTTTTTCTCCAGTATGAATTTTCTTATGTTCAGTAACACTTGAGAATTGGTTAAAAGCTTTGCCACATTCTTTACATTTGTAGGGTTTCTCTCAAGTATGAATTATCTTATGGCTAGCAAGGGTTGAAGATCGGTTAAAAATTTTGCCACATTCCTCATATTCATAGGGTTTCTCCCCTGTATGAATTTTCTTATGTTTAATAAGGTTTGAAGACTGGTTCACATTTGTAAGGTTTCTCTTCAGTATGAATTTTCTTATGGGCAGTAAGGTTGGAGGACCATTTAAAGCCTTTGCCACATTCTTCACATTTGTAAGGTCTCTCTCCAGTATGAATTGTCTTATGAGTAGCAAGGGTTGAGGACCGGTTAAAGGCTTTGCCACATTCTTCACATTTATAAGGTTTCTCACCAGTATGAATTTTCTTATGACTAGCAAGGCCTGAGTACAGGTTAAAGGCTTTCCCACATTCTTCACATTTGTAAGCTTTCTCTCCAATATGAATTTTCTTATGAGTAGTAAGGGTTGAGGAGTGCTTAAAGGCTTTGCCACATTCTTCACATTTATAAGGTTTCTCTCCAGTATGTATTTTCTTATGAGTACAAAGTGTGGAGGACTGGGTAAAGGCTTTGCCACATTCTTCACATTTGTAGGCTTTCTCTCCAGTGTGTATTTTCTTATGAGTAGCAAGTGTTGAGGATTGGTTAAAGGCCTTGCCACATTCTTCACATTTGTAAGCTTTCTCTCCAGTATGAATTTTTTTATGAACAGTAAGGTGTCTGGACTGGTTAAAGGCTTTGCCACATTCTTCACATTTGTAAGCTTTCTCTCCGGTATGAATTTTCTTATGAGTAGTAAGTGTTGAGGACCGGCTAAAGGCTTTGCCACATTCTTCACATTTGTAAAATTTCTCTTCAGTATGAATTTCCTTATGTTCAGTAAGTTTTGAGGATCGGATAAAAGCTTTGCCACATTCCTCACATTTGTAGGGTTTCTTTCCAGTGTGAATTTTCTTATGAGCGATAAGGTTGGAGGACCATTTAAAATCTTTGCCACATTCTTCACATTTGTAGGGTTTCTCTCCAGTATGAATTTTCTTATGGGTATTAAGGCTGGAGGACCATTTAAAACATTTGCCACATTCTTTACATTTGTGGGCTTTCTCTTGCGTATGAATTTTCTTATGTTTAATAAGGTGTGAGGACTGCTTAAAGGCTTTGCCACATTCTTGACATTTGTAAGGTTTCTCTCCAGTATGAATTTTCTTGTGATTAGTAAGGTTTATGGAATGGATAAAGGCTTTGCCACACTCTTCACATTCATAGGGTTTCTCTCCAGTATGAATTTTCTTATGGGTAATAAGGTTGGAGGACCACTTAAAACCTTTGCCACATTCTTCACATTTGTAACATTTTTCTTCAGAATGAATTTTCCTATGTTTAGAAAGGTTGGAGGACCATTTAAAACCTTTGCCACATTCTTCACATTTGTAGGGCTTCTCTCCGGTATGAATTTTCTTATGTTGAGTCAGTCTTGAGGACCGGTTAAAAGCTTTGCCACATTCTTCACATTTGTAGGGTTTTCCTCCCATATGAATTCTCTTATGTTGAGTAAGGGTTGAGGGCAAGTTAAAGGCTTTTCCACATTCTTCACATTTGTAGAAATTTACTCTAGTATGAATTCTGCTATGTCGAGTTAGGTATGAATTCATGCAAAATGATTTGCCACATTCTCTACATTTGAAAGGTTTCTTTTTAGTATGTCTTATCTTACGTCTGCTTGAATTTGAAAACTTATGAAAGACTTTCACATATTTATCACATTGAAATACTCTGCTCTGGGTAGTTCTCAAACATTGGTTGAGTCCATCATCAACTCCTTTTTGCACCTTACACTCACACACACTTTTATAGCCTTTTGTTAATGGTAAATTCTCACTTCTACATTTTCCGTATCTTTCCAGTGTCACTTTTTGGAAAGAATCTTTTATATTCTTCCCTGGCCAAAGGTGTTGGGCAAAATGAGAACGCATAACTGAAAACAAATAAAAATAACAAATTATTACACTTGCGAGACTTAGATAAAGAGACTTTACAAATATAACCTATACAATTAAGCAAACGACATCAGTTAGATGAAATAGCAAAATTCCACAGGCCCGAAATCCTTCATAAACATATAAATGTTACAAATCATACTGACTAAAATACATCTCTGGAAATTTTTAAAATGAATTAAGTGTGTAACATTCTCTGGGTAAGCACAATGCAAGGAGCCACATAGAAAACAAAACAAAACAAAACAAAACAGAAGTTTGTTATATTTACTCAATGCAGCTCTTTCTGCTGCCTATATGTACACAGTGCCTTTAGAAGTAAATTACCAGGTTGGGCACGGTGGCTCATGCCTAGAATCCCAGCACTTTGGGAGGCCGAGGCAGGTGGATCATGTCAGTTGTTTGAGACTAGCCTGGCTACCATGGTGAAACCTAATCTCCACTAGAAAGACAAAATTTAGCCCGGCATGGTGGTGTGCACCTGTAATCCCAGCTAGTTGGGAGGCTGAGATAAGAGAATTGCTTCAACCCAGGAGGCGGAGGTTGCAGTGAGCCGATATTGTGCCACTGCACTTCAGCCTGGGTGACACAGCATCTTTTGCATAACAACGTGAGTGATATATGGAGCTTATTTTTTGAGACAGGGTCTCACTATGTCACCCAAGCTGGAGTGCAGTGGCACAATTACTGTTGACTGTAGCCTGAAATTCCCAGGCTCCAGTAATCCTCTTTCCTCAATCTCCCAAAGAGCTAGGTCCACAGATTTACAGCAAAATGCCAGGCTATTTTAAAGAAATTTCTGTAGAGAAGGAATCTCCATTGCCCAGACTGCTCTGAAACTTTTTGGATCAAGTGATCCTCCCGTCGTGGCTTCCCCAAATCTCTGAAATTACAGATTTCAGAGAGCCAGAACCATGCCTGACCCTGAAATGTACACTTCAATAGATTTAAGATGGCAAATACTATATTATGTGTTTTGGAAACAAATTTTTAAAAGAAAAAAACTGAAAACAATACAGAATTATAAATCTATTCAGAAATTACCTTCAAATCACAAAAGTGTTTTTTTCACACAAAGCAAATGTATATTCATTATTAAACACATGGTGAAAAGAAGACTATTTTCATAACTGCTTACTTAAAGAAGATGAAACAACCATTGAAAATCAGCTAAAAGGTTGGACACAGTGGTTCACACCTGTTAAACCAGCACTTTCAGAGGCCAAGGTGCGTGGATTATCTGAGGTCCCGAGTTCATGACCAGTGTGATCAACATGGAAAAACCCCATCTCTACTAAAAATACAAGATGGGCTGAGTGTGGTGGTGCATGCCTGTAATCCAAGCTACTTGGGAGGCTGAGGCAGGAGAATCACTTGAACGCCAGAGGCAGAAATTGCAATGAGCCGAGATCACGCCATTGCACTTCATACTTGGCAAAAAGAGCCAAACTCCATCAGAAAAAAAAAGAAAGAAGCCGGGCGCGGTGGCTCAAGCCTGTAATCCCAGCACTTTGGGAGGCTGAGGCGGGTGGATCATGAGGTCAAGAGATCGAGACCATCCTGGTCAACATGGTGAAACCCCGTCTCTACTAAAAATACAAAAAATTAGCTGGGCATGGTGGCACGTGCCTG